CGGAGGGCCTGGGCGGGGAGGCAGGCGAGCCTCCTCCTGCCTCGCCCGAGTCCGAGCGGAGCTCTGGCAGGAGAGTGGGCGACGGGACCGGGCCCTCCCCCTGGCCCGAAGTCGTGTGTGGAGGCGCCCGATTTCCCCGGCCTTCTTTTGCCCCCCCTCTGCTAATTAAAACTGTGCGCGGCCCGCTTAGCTTCTATCGGAAGAGGCTCGCTCTCGACCCGCAGATCAAAAAGTGGAGGCGCCCGAGCGCCTCGATTCTTGGGGGGGGGCGGGGCCTTGTCCATGCAGAGTTCTGGCGTTCCCGGAGGCCCTCGTCGCCGCTGGACCTCGCCGCCGTCGTCGTTTCCCCCCCCCCCCCCCCCCCCTCGGGCCACCGAGCGCCCCCCAGCCGGCACGCCCCGCGGCGGAGGCAGGGGCGCGCGCGTGCGAGGCGGGGCGCCCCCTGAGCATGGCGCCGCAGCGGCCGCGAGATCGGGCGCGGCGCGCCGGAAGAGCAGGGGGAGGGACGGTGGGGGGGGGGGCGTGGGGGGGAAGGAGGGAGGGAGGGAAGGGAGGGAGGGAGGGAGGCAAGCTAGGTGCGCTCGCGTCATATCTGACATCCTACCCCCCCCTTCCATCCCTTACCATGGCGTAGATCCCCTCTCTACTCGCACAGTCGGATGTCGAGCAGGGCTATGATCCCGAAAGGGTACGCGATACATTGTAGAGCACGGCATGGCATGGCGTAGAAGAGCACCGCAAAGCGTAGTATCAACCTAGCATTGCATTGCATGCCGTGGCATGGCACGGGAAATGACGCCAGCGCTGCAGCGGGAGCACGAGTCGAAACGAGCGGAAGCGCGGAAATGAGGCCAGCGCTGCAGCGGGAGCACGATTCGGAACGAGCGGAAGCACGGAAATGAGGCCAGCGCTGCAGCGGGAGCACGATTCGGAACGAGCGGGGCCCGAAAATGAGGCCGGCGCCTCAGCGAGAGCAGCATTTTGAAAAAAAAATGCAAGCGAAAACCCAACTCCGGGGAAACCTGTGTTAAAAAAACAATGCGCGGGGGGGGGGATCGGACACTTTCAGGCCGTCATCAGGGGAAGAGGGAGAGTAATGTTCATAAGTAGAATGTGGAGGGAGGGAGGGGAGGGGAGGGAGGGAGGGAGGGGAGGGGAGGGAGGGAGGGGGAGGGAGGGAGGGGGGGAGGGGAGGGAGGGGAGGGAGGGAGGAGGGGAGGGGAGGGGAAGGCGGGGAGGGAGAGGGAGGAGGGAGGACCGCGGAGAGATCTCTGCAAGTAATTTTCTGGCCAGTCTGGGGCTCATGGGGCGTCCTCGTCTCCACGGCCGGACCCCGCCTGCCTCGAAACTCAGGTCGGTCTGGAGGTCAAAGGTTGGGAGGGCCAGGGGGAGTAGGCCGAGGAGGGATGAGGGGGGAGGAGGGAGGAGGAGACGAGGGGGGCGATACAGAAGGGGGAGAAGGAGGAGGTAGGGGGCCTCAAACGGTTGTTTTCCAAAGAGGCATTTCCTTCAAATGCTGATGATGCTGCTGATGCTGATGATGCTGCTGCTGATGGTGTGAATGAGTATGATGACGATGCTGCTGCTGCTGATGGTTATATTCATGATGATTCTCAGTATGATGATGCTGATGATGATGGTGATGCTGGTGCTTGTGATGATGCTGATGCTGATGATGGTACTGATCATGCGGCTGCTGATGTTGATAATGCTGCTGATGATGACGATGATTATGATGATGATGATGATGATGATGATGATGATGATGATGAGGATGAAGATGATGAACAGTCCTATGAGTATGATGATGGCTATGCGGATGATGATGACGATGCTGATGACGATGATGATGGTGATGCTGCTGATGATGATGTTGAAATGACGATGGCGATGCTGGTGGTTGTGATGATGATGATGATTGTTGGCGAAGCTGATGATGATGCTGCTGCAGCTGATGATGATGCTGATGATGACGACGATGACGACGCTGATTATGATGATGGTTGTGATGATAATGAGGATGGTGGTGGTGATGATGATGTTGATGATGACGACGACAATGGCGATGATGACGACTGATGGCGATGACGAGTACACCGACGGCCAGTATTCAGAAACAGATAAGACATTTTACGGTTGAACTGGGGGCCCGACAAAATAAACAAATCACAATTGAATTCGCCTGCCGTTTCTTACCGGCCCGGCCACCCCAGGCTGGGGGCGAACAGTGCAACCGACGGACAAGCGAAAGCAAACACAACTAAACAGAACCAGCCAGGAAAGGGGCAGCCGATGGGCCGAGCAGCCCCAGGGCGGCCGACGAGCTCGGTGCGACCAGTGCATCCGACGGGCAAGTGAAACTTAGCAAAACTAAACAGAACCAGCCAGGGAAGAGGCAGCCGATGGCCCGAGCAGCACAAGAGCGGCCGACGAGCTCGGGGCGACCAATGCAAAAGGCGGACAAGCGAAAACAAACAAAACTAAACAGAACCAGTCAGGGCAATTGCAGCCGATGGGCCGAGCAGCCCCAGGGCGGCCGCGCAACCGACGGACAAACGAAAACAAGCAAGACGAAACATAACCAGCCAGGAAAGGGGCAGTCGACGGGCCGAGCAGCCCCAGGGCGGCCGACGAGCTCGGGGCGACCAGTGCATCCGACGGGCAAGTGAAACCAAGCAAAACTAAACAGAGCCAGCCAGGGAAGGAGAAGCCGATGGGCCGAGCAGCACAAGGGCGGCCGACGAGCTCGGAGCGACCAATGCAACCGACGGACAAGCGAAAACAAGCAAAACTAAATAGAACCAGCCAGGGAAGGGGCAGCCGATGGGCCGAGCAGACCCAGGGCGGCCGACGAGCTCGGGGCGACCAATGCAACCGACGGATAAGCGAAAACAAGCATAACTAAACAGAACCAGCCGGGGAAGGGGCAGCCGATGGGCCGGGCAGCCCCAGGGCGGCCGACGAGCTCGGGTCGACCAATGCAACCGACGGACAAGCGAACACAAGCAAAACTAAACAGAGCCAGCCAGGGAAGGGGCAGCCGATGGGCCGAGCAGCCCCAGGGCGGCCGACGAGCTCGGTGCGACCAATGCGACCGACGGACAAGCGAACACAAGCAAAACTAAACGGAACCAGCCAGGGGCAGGGCAGCCGATGGGCCGAGCAGCCCCAGGGCGGCCGACGAGCTCGGGGCGACCGATGCAGCCGACGGACAAACGAAAACAAGCAAAACTAAACAGAACCAGCCAGGGAAGGGGCAGCCGATTGGCCGAGCAGCCCCAGGGCGGCCGACGAGCTCGGGGCGACCGATGCAACCGAAGGACAAGCGAAAACAAGCAAAACTAAACAGAACCAGCCGGGGAAGGGGCAGCCGATGGGCCGGGCAGCCCCAGGGCGGCCGACGAGCTCGGGGCGACCAATGCAGCCGACGGACAAGCGAACACAAGCAAAACTAAACAGAGCCAGCCAGGCAAGGAGAAGCCGATGGGCCGAGCAGCCCCAGGGCGGCCGACGAGCTCGGGGCGACCAATGCAACCGACGGGCAAGCGAAAACAAGCAAAACTAAACAGAACCAGCCAGGGAGAGGGGCAGCCGATGGGCCGAGCAGCCGCAGGGCGGCCGACGAGCTCGGGGCGACCAATGCAACCGACGGGCAAGCGAAGCCAAGGAAAACTAAACAGAACCAGCCAGGGGCAGGGCAGCCGATGGGCCGAGCAGCCCCAGGGCGGCCGACGAGCTCGGGGCGACCAATGCAACCGACGGACAAGCGAAAACAAGCAAAACTAAACAGAACCAACCAGGGAAGGGGCAGCCGATGGGCCGAGCAGACCCAGGGCGGCCGACGAGCCCGGTGAGACCAATGCGACCGAAGGACAAGCGAAAACAAGCAAAACTAAACGGAACCAGCCAGGGGCAGGGCAGCCGATGGGCCGAGCAGCCCCAGGGCGGCCGACGAGCTCGGGGCGACCGATGCAACCGACGGACAAACGAAAACAAACAAACAACTAAACAGAACCAGCCAGGGGCAGGGCAGCCAATGGGCCGAGCAGCCCCAGGGCGATCGACGGGCCAGGCGAGATTACAGGAAACGACGGGCAAGCGAAAACAAGCCCGAACAACGAAACTCAGCCAGGGAAGCGGCAACCATAATGCATTGCGCGGCCATTGGGCTAGAAACCGAACGAAAAACAAATGCCAGTCCCAAAAGTGCCCAACCACGCCGCGCCATAAGAGACCGGCAGGGGCTAAAACGAAACAACAACTTTCTTATTGACCGCCGTCGGTGTAATGACGAATGGTGATGATGGTGATGATGATGGGGAGGACGAATGATGATGATGATGATGATGATGATGAGGAGGAGGAGGAGGAGGAGGAGGAGGAGAAGGAGGAGGATGAGGGATACGAGGGTGAAGGAGGGATATGGGAGGAGGGTGCGGATGGGGGGAGAGGAGTTAAGAGCAAACATAATGTGCCAAATCGCAACGAGAGGGTGAAGGTCTTCTCAGAGGGCGACGGCGTCTGAAACAAGCGTTGCCAAGCATCATGCCATAACGAAAGGGAGCCACAAGGGATGAGAGCATCGATGAGCGCGACACGTGGAAGCGTGGTGGTATAAGCTTTTCATATTATGTGTGGCAATGGGAGGGGGGTTACCAAACATGATTCATAGGACCTAGATCGTAACCCCATTTCTCCATGTGTATATATATATATATATATATATGTATGTACTATCATTCATCCTCCTCTTCATCCTAGTCCCTAATCCTCCCTTTCCTTCTCCTCCATCACTTTTTCCTGCCGCCTTCCTCCTCCTCCGCCTCCTTCTCCCTCTCTTGATCCTCACCCTGGCTCTCCTCAGTCTCCTCATCTTCCTCCTCCTGCCGTTCCTCCTCCTGCGCCTCCTCGTCCTCCTCTCCCTGCTGCTTCCAATTGATACTGCTGCTGCCGCTCCTCCTTCCCCCCTCTGTGGAGAAACTTCCCAGCAAGCCTCTGGAGTCCGACTTGAAGCTCCCGGGCTACGGCCTGCCTTTGTATTTCTCCCGCGGGCCCACGGTGGAGCCGTATGACTAGCCGCTCTTCCGTCCTGTGCGGGTGGCCGCCTTGGCGCCCGCCTTGGCGGCCGCCTTGGCCCCCGCCTTGGCGCCCGCCTTGGCGGCCGCCTTGGCGACTGCCTTGGCGGCCGCCTTGGCGGCCGCCTTGGCGCTGGGCTTGGCGCTGGCCTTGGCGCTGGCCTTGGCGCTGGCCTTGGCGCCGGCCTTCGCGCGAGCCTTCGGGCCGGCTTTCGCGCCAGCCTTCGGGCCGCCTTCGCACGCCAAGTCCCCCTGCTCCGCCGCGGGAACGGCGGGCGGCGCCGCCGCCGCCCCCTCTGCGGCCAGCGAGTACGGGCCTGGCGCGGGGACCGGCAGCGGGGACGGCGCCGCGGAGCCCAGCGCTGGCGCAGGCTCGGCACAGGTGGGTGCGCTGCCGTCAGCCGCCGCCGCCGTCTTCGCGGCCGGCTGGTACGGGCCTGGCGCGGGGACCTGCAGCGGGGACGGCGCCGCGGAGCCCGGCGCTGGCGCGGGCGCAGGTTCGGCCAGTGCGGGGGCGCTGCCATCAGCCGCCGCCGCCGTCTCCGCGGCCAGCTGGTACGGGCCTGGCGCAGGGACCTGCGGCGGGGACGGCAGTGCGGAGCCCGAGGCTGGCGATGGCGCAGGTTCGCCACCACTGCCGCCGTCGGCCACCGTCGCTGGCTTCGCGGCTGGCTGGTCCAGCGCAGGGTCCGCTAGGGGCGGCGCGGGCGCTGGCGCCGCTTCGGCATGCATGGGGGTGCCGTCGTCAGCAGTCGCTCCGCCCTCCACCCGCTGCCCGCCGTCCAGGCCACTGCCGCCGCTGGTGCGCTCCTGATGGCAAGCCGTAGCCGCAGCCCAGCACCCGTGCCTGAAAGCTCGCCTCGGGGTCCAAAGCCTCGTTCGGGCGCGGGAGACCCGCGGCGTCGATGGGCAACGCGCACCCGCGCTCTTGCGCCCGTGACGAGCTTTCTGGCGCACGAGTGGCGGGCTTCGGCCCGCTGTCCTCCTTCAAGCTGCCATCTTGGTCGCCAGAGTCCTCTTGCCAGCCCCAACGGCTCGAGCCGTCGTGCTCCTCGGCCCAATTCTTCTTCTGGCCACCAGCATCATCGCCAGGAGGGCCGATCTGGCCGCTGCCGCCGCTGGTGCGCTCCTCATGGCAAGCCGTAGCCCAGCACCCATGCCTGAAAGCTTGCCTCGGGGTCCAAAGCCTCGTTCGGGCGCGGGAGACCCGCAGCGTCAGGGGGACACGCACCGGCGCCGTTGCGCCTGGAACGAGCTTTCTGGCGCGCGGGTGGCGGGCTTCGGCTTGCCATCCTCCGTCAAGCTGCCATCTTGGTCGCCAGAGTGTTCTTGCCAGTCCCAACCCCTCGAGCAGTCATGTTCCTCGGTCCAACTCTTCTTCTGGCCACTGGCATCGTGGCCTGGAGAGCCGCTCTGGCTGCTGACCAAAGGCCGCGCGACCAGAGGTCGCGCGACCAAGGCGCTGGCCTGCGGTGGCGCGACCACGAAGCTGCTGGTATCCTGTTGGCCTGACCAGTCGGCAGACTCCGCGCTGCCGCCAGCATGGTCGCCCCAGCGGTGCCCTGTGCTGTGCTGCGAATCGTCCATCTGGGCGCTGGAATGGTCATCCCACCGCTGGTCGGTCGGCTCTTTCTGGCTCTGGGACCAGTCGTTCCACCCATCGCTTCTGCGATGGCTGCGCCAACCGTCCGCCTTGCTGTTCCAGTCCTTGCTGCTCTTCCAACTGCTTTTTCCCTGGCCGCCCCAGCTGTCCAAGTCGCCGTCCCAGCCCCTGTCGCTCCAGGTCTTCTTGGGTTGGCCATCCTCGCTGCCCGCAGACCACCTCTGGTATCCATGGCCTTGCTCCCTCTTTGCTTTATCGTGCCATCCCGACCAGCTGCCGCTCTGGTCGCCTCCAGACTGGCCGTCATTCCACCGTTGCTGCACTTGCGGCTCCTTTTGCTGCTGTCGCTCCAGCTGCTGCTGCTGCTGCTGCTGCTGCTGCTGCTGCTGCTGCTCCAGCTGCTGCCGCTCCAGCCGCTGCTGCTCCAGCTGCTGCTGCTGCAGCTCCAACTGCTGCTGCTGCCACTGCAGCTGCTGCAGCTGCTGCAACCGCAACTGCTCTTGCTGCTGCATCTGTGCCACTACCTCCGCCGGCACACGGATCAAGTCGGCCACCGACATCTTCGGTGGGGGGGCGATGCCGTCGGGCCCGCTGTCCACGAAGTGAAATTCGATCTCCGTCGTGTCGGGGTTGTAGCAAAGGCCGCTTGACGGGTCGGGCATCCTCAGGGAGAACCGCGGGGAGGAGAGGGAGTACACCCATAGTCATTCAGAAGAAAACCTTGTGATTGGCCTGCATTCGCATGCGTCGCAAGCTCGGGGAGTATACCTATACGACCTCCCTTCGGGTGATATCGAGATTCGGGGTGGAAGGGGGGACCAACGTCTCATTTAATCGATCTCGCATCGATAAAACTCTCGATCTCACAACAGGTCTCACTATCGACATCACAATCGATCTCACTATCGGTCTCACGACAGACCTCACTATCGATATCACAATCGATCTCATTACTGGTCTCACAATCGATCTAAGTATCGATATCACTGTCGATCCCTCGTTAGTTCTCACGAACAATCTCACCATCGATCTCACAACAGATCTCACTATCGATCTCACATTCGGACACACTATCGATCTTACGAAAGTTCTCTTTATCGGTGTCACAGTCGATCTCACAATCGATCTCACAATCGATCTGACTACCAGTCTCACGATCGATCATACAATCGATCTTACAATCGATCTCACAATCGATCTCAATAACGATTGGACTGTCGATCCCACTATAGATCTCACGAGCGATCTCACCATCGATCTCACAGCAGCTTTCACGATCGATCTCACTACAGACCTCACTAACAATATCAGAACAGGTCTCACTATCGATATCCAAATCGATCTCACTATCGATCTCACAACAAATCTCACGACCGATCTCACAATCGATCTTACTATCGATTTGACAATCGAACTCACTATCGATCTCAAGAGCGATCCCACGATCAATCTCAGAGCAGATCTTATCATCGGTCTCCCAATAGATCTCACCATCGATCTGACAATCGAACTCACCACCGACCTCACATTCGGACCCACTGTCGATCTCACAACAGTTCTCACTATCTGCCTCACAACCGATATCACCATCGAACTCACTATCAGTCTCGCGATCGATCCCACGATCGATCTTACAATCGATCTCAGTATCAATATCACTGTCAATCCCACTATAGATCTCACGAGCGATCTCACGAGCGATCTCACCATCGACCTCACAACAAATTTCACAATCGATCTCACAACAATTCTCACCGTCGATCTCACTATCGATTTCACCGCCGCGCCACCGACGGGACACCGCCGCGCCACCGACGGGACACCGACCAGACACCGCCGCGCCACCGACGGGACACCCCCGGCCACCGCGCGCCGCGGGAGGGGGGGGGGGGTGGCGGACAACCAGCTCCACAGCCCCTAGCCACGGCGGCATCACTCCTCTCGCGCGCCCACGCAGCTTCGCCTCGCCCGCACGCGCGACACGAACACGACATCGAAACCGGCTTCCCGGTGATGGGCTCCCCGTTCCACTGCGATCCCACCCCGAAACCTCCCATCAAACCTAGAAGCTCACAGAGGATAACACAGCATTGCCATTTCCTTATCAGAGAGTGCAGATGTAGGGGGAGAGTAAGCTCGACGGGTCGCGCACCTCCGCGAACACGCTTCGTGCCCCACGGAGACCCCGTCTACGACCCCGCTGGGCGCGGGAGCATGCGGGCACTGCGCCGAGTGTGGCACACCCCCGAACGCTTCGTGCCGTTTAGGAGGCTTCCAATACGGCACCGCCTGCACCCCGGGCTCCACCTCCCTAATTAAAGCTGCGCGTAGCCCGCCTAGCTTTTAGCGGAAGAGGTTCGCTCTCGCCCCGCCGACCAAAAAGTGAGTGCCGAGACAGTCTCGGTACGCCCCGCGCGAGCTCCGTGCACGGCCCTAACACAAACACATTCCTCACAGGCTTCGTGTCCCATGGGCGGCCCTAAGCGTGAGCCCACCAGGCGCGGGGGCGCAGGCTGGCGCCAGCCCCTTTCCGCACGCACACCCCCAGCTTCGTGCCCTTCGGCGTGCCCCAACTGCAGCCTCAGTGGACGCGGGCATACGCGTGCGCCACGCCGCTGGGAACTCCAACTGCGGCCCCTGCGGGGTTGGGCGCACGTGGGCGCCACGCCCGCTACGGCACACCCTGCACACGCGCTTCGTGCCTAACAAGGAAACCCATGTACTGCCCCACTACGCACTGGCACACCTGGGCGCCGAGCCCGTGTGAGCCCGTTCGACACACTCGTCACTCGCTGCGTGCCCAAATGTGGACCCCCAGTGACCGCCCTGTTGGGCGCAAACGCATGCGCCACGCCCGCTGCAGCACACCTCTCACCCGCTTCGTGCCCCATGAGGCAGCTACGTGGGCGAATGTTAGCGCTGCGCCGCTGTTCTTTCTTTTTTTTTAGCGCTGCGCCGCTGATGATACGCCCTTAGACGCTTCGTGTCCTCATGGGGGGCCCGGCTATGGCCCCACGGGGTGCGGGCGCATGTGGGCGCAAAGCCCGTGTCGGCAAATCCCGCACACGCTTGTGACCCACAGAGAGCCCCAACTACGGCCCCGATGGGCGTGGACGCATATCGGCGCCGCGCAATGTCAGCACACACCTCACACCTCACACGCCTCGTGCGCCGTAAGGAGAGGACACAACCTAACGCTACTCACTTGCGAGAAAATGTTTTCCGTCATGCTAATTCGAGTGGTCTTCGCCCTCCTGTCTTTTCGGGCCCGACGGCGGTCTCTTGTCCCTTATCCATCCTCCAAGTGGGTGTGCGCCGACTGCCTCTAGCGGGTAGAGACGAAGACCCCCAGAATGAATGGAGCAAGGCTCAAGAGGAAGGCGGCACACATATCGAAGCCTTGGGCTGCACACCTGGACGGGCACGCGACAACGTAGCTGTGTCGATTCTTCAAGAAATCCCACCAGCCCTCTCGGCGGAGGTGGTCCAAGGCGTTTCCTCTTCCACTCCCTTCGTCCCCATCGTGGAACGGCTTATTCCTACTCCTCGTGAGAGCATGATGTTAGCCAGCGTGGACCCCAAACAGTAAAGTCTTGCAATATACGTGGTGCAACCTAGGTGGTGCAATCAAGGTGGTGCAGTCCATGTGGTGCAACCTATGTGGTGCAGAGCTATGCACAGCAATGCAAACCAACGCCAAGCGATGTATTGGGATGCAAGGTAATACAAAGCGATGCGAACCAATGCAAATCAATGCAACGCAGCGCAACGCAACGCAATTGCAATGAGAAGCTATGGAATGCGAAGCCATGAAGAGCGATGCAGCGCAATGCAGCGCAATGCAAAGCAATGCACATCAACTCACAGCAATGCAACGCTATGTAAAACAATGCCGAGCACTGTAACTCGATGCGAACTAATGCAACGCAATGAGAAACAATGATGCAGTGCAATGCGAGGCAAAGCAATGCGGAGCGATGCAAAACTGTGCAAGACAATGCAATGCAAAGCATTCGGCGGTGACGGGCGGCACTGGGGCGCAGTGGTGACGGTGGCGACGGGCGGCACTGGGGTCCAGCGGCGGCGGGCGGCCACAAGCCGGCCAGGCCGACAGCCTGGCCCAGTTCCTTGGAAAGACCCCCGAGTGCAACGACTGTTTGGAGAATGAAGCCCCCTCCCCCCCTCGACAACCTGCCGACGACCCGAAATCATGCCGATCCTCCCCGCAATCCCTGCCAAAAACGATACAACAGAGTATGCACAGCTTGCAGTAGCATCTTGGACAACGTTTGGCGCCCCGCAATCACTTCATATATTGTTGATAAGGGGCGAGGGGTATGTTCTGGCCATCGCTCGGACGTCCATTCCCTGTGCTTTTTCCGGTTTCGTGCGTTTTTTTTGTTTTTTTGTTTTTTTGTTTTGTTTATTTTTCTTTTCGCCAAGATCAAGGTTGCTCCTCGATGGTCCGCGCCGAAGGAGAGATGGTGCGCCGGGATCGGCGGCAATGCCTTGTCCCGCCGTGCCGGGTGCCATCTATTGTCGAGTGCCCTCGTTGCGTTGGCGTGTCGCTTGGCCCCCTCGCGCATCCATTGCGCCACCGCGTCGTGTATGTCGGTGTCTGGGGTGAGTGAGTTGTGTCTGTAGTGGTTCGTGGCATTCTAGATGGCGTAGACAAGTAGTGCCACTGCTGTAAGCTCATCGCACGTTTTGATGTTCTCATTGCAGAGCAGGAGTGTGTGAATATTGGCAAAGGGGGAGGGAGAAATGTTCAGCCTGCGCTCCATGGCTCGCTGCGTGACTGGGCATCTGCAATCGTGCTCGATGGAACCTCCCGCGGCTCCTCCACAACCCAAGACGCAACGGTTGCGTGCTGAATGCCTCTGCTGGTGCCGGCTGTACGTGCACCATCTGTTCCGCAGCGTGCCGAATACTGCGGCGCAGGCCCGCGGAGGGGCCAGCGTCGAAAGCAGTTGGAGATGTGCCAGAGCCCGGCGAGCTTGCCAGGCAGGCGTTGTGCACCGACAGCTCGTTCCTGGGGGCGGTGGGTGCGTTGCAGCGGTTTGGAGGTCCCAGCGCTGGAATTTGTAGCGAATGCGGTGGCTGGGGTGCGGGGCTCGGTGGGCGAGTAGTTTCTGGTAAGCTCGTCGTTGGAAGGTGGCTTGGGGCGCAGGGGAGGGGCGTGTGTGCTGGAGTTGTTCGTTGTCGTCTTGTCGGCGCCGCTGCCGTCGTCCGCGATGTCCTCGCCGTCGCGGTCGCGGTCGTCGCTTGGCTTGCTCTGTGGACTGCAGATGTCTTCGATAGCGCAGACATGATGCGTGAACCATTGTAGGTTGTCTTCGATGGTAACTGCAAATGCCTTGGAATACCAATCGTCCCGACGCGTCCGGTTGTGTAGATATTTCGGGCGTGCAAGAGCTTGTTGAAGGTCTCGTACCTCGCGCTGATAGTGGGCCGCCGTGCATGCCCGATCCCACACCCGAACTCGGAGTTGCGCGGCTTTGGTGGTCAGGGAAGCGCTGCGGCACGAGGTCGACTGTCCGAAATGTTCCTGCAGGCGCCATAAATCATCGGACACAGCCCACTTCCCGGGTCTTTTGTGCGTCCCCTGAGCCCAGCTTCCTTCAGCCGCAATGTCTCTTGCGGGACAGACTCCAGCTGGCCGATGTACCCAAGCGTGGATATGGCGAACGCGTTGTATGCCACCGTATGGAAGTACATTCCAACGCCGTGCTCGGACCAGTCGTGGCAACGCTGGACGAACTTGGCGTTGGGGCCTCGCCATGATTGCTCGCCTTTGCCTGGCCTTACCGCAGTCCGACACGGGCATACTGGCCCACCCAGGAAGGCACCGGTTGCGGCGTTGTTGCAGCAATCGACAATCCTGTCGTGCTCGAGGACTGCAAAGGTGAATCCAACCTCGGTGACGCATGTGCAACACTGTTTGACGATTTGAACAAGCCGCCAGCTTGGATAAGTAGAAGGGGCTCGTCGCCGAACCTGCTGTAACCCCCGGACTCGCTGAGACCGCTTCTCGCATGCCTCCAATGCCCTGGCGATGACTATTTCCCGCGGGAGGCGAATGCCAGGGTCGATGATGTCCGCGCGTGCGGAGAGGGAGGCCAAGGAAGAGAGGGTTACTGCACCATGGCCCGAAGCATGTGCGCGGACGAGGGGCAGCCATGGGAAACATAGAAAGCAAAAAAGAGAGGGCGAGGATGGCCCCCCACACAGTCCTCAACCCCGTCTCCGACGCCCCCGAACCCTCCTAAGAGGTAAGTGTCTCGCTGGACTCATTCCCAAATTGGGTCTATCCCACAGGTCGGACACTTACCAAGGTGAACCGGCGTAGACCGCAAACAGTGAATTCTTGCAATATATGCGATTCAAACTACGTGGTACATACAATCAAGGAAGTGCAATCTAGGTGGTGCAATCCATGCGGTGCAATCTATGTTGCCCAAAGAAATGCAACGCCATGCGAATCAATGCAACACAATGCAATGCAAAGCATTGCCATAGCAATGCGCAGCAATGCGAACGCAATGCAAAGCAACGCAATGCAGAGCAATGTAACGCCATGCGCAGCAATGCAATGCGAAGTAATCCAGCGGCCACGGCGGCGACGGGTGGCGATGAGCCCGACAGATCCTTACTGAGTCTCAGTTACCAACGGCCTAGGCGGCGGCGACGGGCGGCGACGGGCGGCAACGGGCGGCGACGGGCGGCACTGAGGCTCAATAGTATACCAACGGCGACGGCGGCGGCGACGGAAGGCGACGGGTGGCAACGAGCCGGCCGGATCGGCACTCAGACCCAGTTGCCTTAGAAGGCAAGTAAGAAACCCCAAGTGCAAACACTGTTTGGGAAATCATTGTTTTCGCCCTCCCGTCTTTTCGGGCCTGACGATGGCCTCCCTCATTTCCTCTTTTCCATCCTCCCTTCGGCCTCCTCTCTCCCTCCCTCCCCCAACTTTTGGTGTGCGCGCCATTGACGTGTAGAGGGCAAAGATAATACCCGCTCAGAGTGGGGTACGATTCAAGAGGAACGGGCCCGATACGCCGAGGCTTTGGGGTCCACGTGTAGATGACACGCGGGACTGCTCGCCAGCGCGCGGCGCGAACCACACACGCACTGTGGCGCCTACGCCGTGCCGCGCAGCGCGGCGCACTTGCGTGCCGCGCTGCGCGCTGGTCTGCGCCATGGCGCGACTGCCCCGCCCCGCCGGTCCTCCTGCAGAGCTTGCTGGCCACCAGGTGGCTGTGCTCCGAGGCCTGCCGTGGCGTGCAGCCCGGCGGGGGCGGGGGCGGCCAGGCGGCCCCGGGCGGCAGCGCGGCGTCCAGCTCCGCGTCCGAGCTGGGCCAGCCCGCTGGCCTCGGCTCGCGCGAGCAGCCGTGCAGGGCCGCGTCGGCGGCCTCGCGGGTGGGGCCGTCCATGCTGGCGAGGCGCTCCGCCTCGACCGCGGTGCTCTCGTCGAAGGCCCACGGGGCCTCCGGGTCCTCTCGGGAGCGGCCAAGAGGGGGGTGTCCAAGAGGGGGGGGTGCACATCATGACCGGCGGCATGTGCGCGGCCCAGCGGGGGGGCCAGGGACGTAATGAAATAAGAAGAGGCGCCATGAAATCTGGGGAAATATCATGGCCCATGCCATGATATCCACCCCCCCTAGTCATCACCCCTCGCTTTTCCGCCCCCGATCCTCGGGGAGCGTGCCGTCCCAGAACGCCTGGGCGCCGAGGCCGGGGATCGGGCCAGCGTCAGCGCAGGCCGCCGCCGGGTCGCCGAGGCCGTAGAGGCTCGCGGTCGCGGGGAGCGAGGCTGGGGCGCCGGGGCCGTCGGGGAAGGGAGCGTCGCGAAACGCCGCTGGGTCGCCAAGGCCGCCGGGAGGTGCGCCCCCTGCCATGGGCTCGGCCACGGGCTGCTCGTGGCTGCCGTCAGGGTCCCAGTACCTGCCCCAGGGCGGGCGGGGGGGAGGGGAGGGGGGAGCAGGAGGAGGAGAAAGGGGGAAAGAAGGATGGGGGGTGATAGGGGGGGGAGCACCTGCCACCCACGGGCGGTGGCTTCATCTGCTCGATCCTCACCCGCACCTCTGGGGGGTCGTCTGCGCAGGCCGTCCGCAAGTGCACTTTATGCGTGCTGCTCTCCTCTCTGCCCTGATTCTGTGCAGAAGATGCTCGGACCTCTCCGCATTTTTTTTGTTTTGTTTCTCCTCTTGTCTTTGTTCCCTGCAGGATTTGAACAGTTTCTTTTTGTTTTTGGCAATCCGATTCTCTTTGGTGTTTCAAGATGGTGCTCCCATGCAGCGTGGGCCTCTTTTTCGGATCGGCGCTCTGTTCCCGTCGTTCAAAGGCGCTCTCGCCCCAGCGCGTGCCGCTTTTCTGGCTCCGAGTCTTTTTTCATCGTTGTCGCTCCCCCCATTTCCTCTCCTCTGCCTTCCCCTGGTCGTCCTGCTCCTCCCACTCCAGTTCCTTCCTGTTGCCGCTGTTCGTCCTCCTCCTCCTCCTCCTCCTTTCCTTTTCCTCCTGCTTATCCCTCTGCTCACTCGCCATCTCCTCCCCCTCCTCCCCCTCCTCCTCCTCCTCCTCCTCCTCCTCCTCCTCCTCCTATGTCGGCAACTTTCCCTTTCCCGAGTACACATGTCACGGTGGGGTCTTTGTTCGAGTTCCAGGTCGGCGATGACACGCGTCCGCGGGCAGAGAGCATATCCGCGCCATGGGAAGGGATGGGAGGGGTACAGTCGGGGGCTTGACCTAAGGAACCCAACATAAGGAACGAGGCCCCTTTTTTCCATGAGTTAAACTTCGATTTCTGATCGAACACATAAGGAAAACCTGAGGCAAGCTGCGAAACACTTAAGGAACGCGGAGCCCCTCCCCAACGAAAAGGGTTCCTTCTTCAGGGCCCCGACTGTAAGATGTCAGATGCGGCGCGAGCGCATCTGGCTTGCCCCCTCACGCTCGCCGCTCTTCCCGCGCGGGGGGGCGGAGGGAGCGATTCCTGAAAGAGAAGGAAGAGAGCAACGGGAACCGATGGGGGAGGGGGGAGCGGGGAGGGAAGGAAGGAGGGACGGAGGAGGCAGAAAAGGGTGAAGGAGGGAAGCACAGGAGGGAGAAGGAGGAAGACGAGGAGGAGAAGGAATTGTGTAAACCCACGGTTCATCAACGATATTGCAATGAACCCTCCCTTCAAGCTCCCTCTTCATAGGCCCCCTACAAACACTTCTCTTCACTGGGGGAAGTCCCCCGTTGGAAGACAGCCGTTTGAAAATCCTGAACTGTGCCAGAACACCGTTCCTGGGACTCCAGCGCCTCGAATCACCGTTTCTGTTGCGCCTTGACGATTCCGAGTCGCGCCAGAATGCCCTTCCTGGGACTCCGGCATCGCGAATCAACGTAACCGTTGCGTCCTGATGTTGCGCCCTGATAATCCGACATTGTGCCACAACGACACTTCTGGGACGCTAACAATGAGAATCCTTGAAACTGTTGTAGAGTCTTGAAGCGAATATGCGCTGCGCTGAAGCGATGACCGCATTTTGAAAGAACCGCCCGCCCCCCATCCGTGAAACGCCTGCAAACTCTTAAAACGATGTAGAAACCACCCGCCCTCAATCCCCGAAGCTCTTGCGAACTGCTAAGACATTTGCTTGTCAATTTGGTCAACGTTTTTTGCTTAACACACATGCCTGGCCGTACATCTGCAGGCAATCCTGACCCTAGCTCTGGTCGCCAGCCTGAGCGATATGTGAACGTTGTTTCGTCGGGGCTGCTGGCTCTGACAGGCAGCATGCGCCGACCTGTGTGGTTTCGGCGGGTCTTGGAACTCATCGGTTTTCGATCCAGTATCGCCTCACTATCCAATGCTACGGCTAACGGCGAGGATCAACTCACCCACCGTCGTGCCGACTTTCGGAAGCTTGCTTGCCACCTGGAAGAACGTCGCTGACATTTCGAACGGTGTCGCCTGGCGTAGCGGGTGGCCGACGTTCTTGATCGCATCAGGGAGTGCTTTGGCGCCAATCTCGTCGTCCTGCACCAGTGCTTGCACGTGCAAGCTGAACAAAAAACGCGACCGTTGGGGCTGTTCTGGCTCGTCGAACGTCGGGGACACTGCTGCTTCTCGTGCCCAACCCTCGCAAGTTGTGGCCTCGCGTTCTCGACCAAATCTGCGAAGATCTGCACGGCAGACGCCCGCCGTAGCCTTCGCGCCGAACCGTCCTTGCACTGTCAGCTCCTAAGACGGGCATGCTGGCGTAGGTTGTCTGGCACGCTGGCCATGCACAGCCCTCCGTCGGGTCTTTCTTGCGATCTTTCCACAATTCCTTTTGCGCCTTGGTGACGTCGGTCACGATTTGATGCTTCCTGTCTCGAACCGCCGTGATCGTAGACTCGTGCTCGATAAGACGTACTTGCCCTGGTTTCCACATGCACGGTGAAGATGCGCATTAACATGATAGTCGATGCATCGTCCAACTCGCCTTCGTCCTCGTTCATATCATTAATGTGCTTGCTGGTTCGGTTTTGGGACTGCGCAACACTTTTCGACACGTGTTGAAAGAACCACGGCTTCTCTTCCTTCTCTTCGCGCACGCTGTCGGGCATGCAGAGTGGGCTCCCGCGTGTTATGTGGTAGCTTGGCCCACGATGCTTGGAAAGGGCGGTAGCACGGAGTGAGGAGATGAAGGGGAAGGGGGGATTGGCGGATGGGAAGGCAGGGAGGAGGATGAAGGACACAAAGGAGAGAAACACCCGTGCGAGCTACAAGATAGCACAGGACCCCCCCAAAGGCGCCTCCCCTCCCTCCGAGATGGCCCAAGGTCGGGCCAGGCCAGCTCCGGGACTGCTACCAGGGCCTTTGCAGACAACCCCGCGACAGTTCTACAGCTCGCCGAGGAGAGCTCGGTAGAACCGTCGCGCCTGATACGGCCCAGCAGCGCCACAAGGGCCCGCAGAGGCCACGCGGAGCCACACGGTGAATCCCTGGTAATGCATCCCGGAACCATGTCGATGCTGCGCTTGCGCGATGGCGGGGTCTTCGGCAGGCAGCTGGTAATTCTAGCAAGCAGAAGCCCGACACGACATGGGACGAATCTGAGGATACCGATGACGTCGATGAGGGATGGTGATGACGATGAAGAGGCTGATTGTGAGTGCGATGATGGTGATGGTGGTGGTGATGGTGATGGTGATGGTGAGGATGATGATGC